GGACAAAATGATGTTATTTGACACCAATCACATTGAATGCCCGAATCGCCTGAATTTTTTCTTCCTTGTGGACAAACAATACACGGTCCAATACCTGAACTATTCTTAAATGTTCCTGCTGAGCAGCGGACAGATGAATATATATATATAATGCCAAAAAGACTGAAAGTGCTGCCACTATAGTATCCGGGTGGACTAGACAGAATGACCAACGCCCTACCCGTATTGTCTAAAATAACTATGCTTGACGACCAAGAACTGATAAGAAGAAAACTCGGATTTACCGATAAATAAGAAGAAGAAACGGTGGTTTGTTGATTGTTAGGAAAGACAAAAATGGGCGAAGTGGAAGAATATTCAATATTGTATACTTGCACGGTAGACGCTGACCAAGGTGGATTTGCCAGAGAATAAGCAAGAATGGCTACTGTTGTATTATCAATCCACGCTACGGATTTACCAAAACCCGTATAACTATTAAATCGACTTATAGTTTCAAGGATAGTTAAATTGGTCGTATTAGCAGACAATAGTACTACCGTATCGAATATTGGTATACCGATCAGAACTTGATTCTGTTCACTGATATCTACAGCCATGTCATATGGCAAAGTGTAACTTATAGCAGACATCATAGGAACTGCGACATCACTTATTAGTAATACAGAGCTTATTAATGTAAAATTAAGTGTTAGATGATCCAAATAGATAAGCCAAGCCGTAGGGACATACTCAGTAAGCTCAAAAGTAAAAGCATATCCAGCTACAACAGCAAAATGTTCACTCATACCTAATGCATGTGGAACAAAGAAAGGATAAGCAGATAGGGGAGGAGGCAATACTATACTCTGGTTTTGTATTTTTATCTCATAAAAGGTTATTCATTTAGGATGTCCGATTTGCGGGTGTTGGAGATTAACTGAAATCACACAGAAAAGCAGATAGGGGAATAGAGCAGTTCGGAAGCCTTTGCGTTATAAATCAGGATAAAACTAAAACTTCTTGTTCACCTTCTGTCCGTGCCCAGATGCCAAAGATAGCGAGTGGTTTCACTCAGAATCAATGAAATGAAAGGTCAGAGCGAGAAAGGCAGGATGGCGGAAAACATTTGTAGGTTTCCGGAAAACTTCTTACAAATGTTTTAGTTACCCATTCCTCCTCGATGACTCTTTTGTCAATCCGTTGTCTCAGATTTGTTTTGCTAATTAAGTGTCATACTGCAACAGATATCGTTTACAATAGTTGTTTCAAGCTTGATATTATTGCTGCATTTCTTTTATTTCAAGTTTAATAGTCAATGTTTCATGTGAGCTAAGAATATGTTATCCAAATGATCAACCAACCACTCGACGACCGAGGAGTGAGACGGACTCACAGAAGACAGTTCGATTAAGTTATGAATGATCTGGATCTAGAGTATCGTCTTATTTTTAACAATTTCTGCTCAGCTTACTTTTCATTATCATCATCTGGAAAAGGTAGAAAATAAATTCCCAGGAACTCCCAAAATAGAAGATTAATAAACGCTTTCAGCAACTATTTGACTTCTTATTAAGATGGGGCTGTGTATCCTTCCTAAATGCTCGCCATCATCCTCACAGTCAAGAGACAGGAGAATGAGCATGTTAAACCTTACTTGTTGGAAAAGAAACGTTATTTTTCAAATCGAAAAAAAGTTCGCTCTTGTACATTGTATGAACAATATTCTAACCTCATCGCTTTTGTTAGCGGTAGGGACAATAAGAAAGTTACTTTTCAGAAAAGTCGGTCACTCAGTAGATGTCACTTCTAGTTCGGCACTAGGAAGAATAGGTTCGTAATCGATAGTTGTAGAAAGGTGGAATGAGGTATGGGTTCTAGAAAAATGTCTGGCTCTGTATTAACATGTGGCTAGAGGCTAATAGAATCGGATTTTTGATATTTTTCTTTTCAAATTAATGGCGTCAAAAGTCCAAAATTCGTAAAAATCTCATTAATTTTGGTAAAGATGTTTTTGTAATCACAGATCTAAACCGAATATCGAAAATCAGGTTCTATTAGCCTCTAGCCACATGTGTCAGCTTCAATTTAAGATCTTCCCGAGCTCTCTGCGATGTTTCGTTACCGAGAAATTTTGAAGCTGCGAAATGGTGTTAAAGTGAAAGTCGCTTTCGAGATGTGATGGCGTCCGTATCTGATGCATGTTTTAGGACTTCCAGAAAAACTCTCATGACTCTGATCCGAACATCATTCAGAGCCGGGAAATATCTCATTCTGATCAGAAATGTTTGCTCTATTTCCTGGTGTTACTAAAAGTAGTTTTCGATTTTCTTTTTAATCGGACAAGGCGTATCTAACCGGATTCTGAAATATTTTACTTTTAATCTTCAGAAATAGGAGAATACTCCTTTGAGACACAGCAACAAAATACTATTTTTCGCCACTAAATTAACTAAACAAAAATTTTAGCAGTTTTCAGTAGGCTGATTTCATTTGATTATTCACGACATAAGGAGATCATATCTTTAGAACTGCGACTTTTCTTTTTCTTTCTGTTTCTACTAGCGTCGTTAGTATTTCTGTCTGTTTTTCGTGTGTTCAATTAGATTTGTATATGACTAACTGTGTTTTTAAGAGATTTTTTGCATCTAATTAGTTAGATGATTATTACTAGAGACAGGTTATTCAAGTTTATATTTGAAATATGATCAAGAATCCACACTTGGCAGGAGAAGCCCAAAAAGTGTAACTCAGACATCCTAAATCGATGGGCTGTAAGTGTTTAGATCATAAACAAAATGAAAACTACTAGTAGTACCGTAAGCAAATAAGCCTAGTGGATCAACACCAATTATATAGTATTCCTGATGACTGTAAGAAAAAGTCATAAGATTTAAGTAAGTATAGTTACATGTCCTATAACATTCGATTACACCTACAGTCTGATTTCCACTTACAATATCTTCTCCAATATGAACAAAATATAACTGACTAGCATTTTGTTTTTTTCCAGCTGCTATACTATAAACATAATTTGTTTGACTAATAAAAGGGACAGTACAAAATGTACCATTCTTGGTATAGGCATCAAATCCAACTTCAATGGCTTTTACTGCATTATCAACATAAATCGTTTGCTCATCGTTTACCACTAATTTAATGCCATACGCATCATAATCATTTAAATCGGGGCTAAACTGATTAGTTAGAAGTGGATGATGAAAAAGAATGAGGCAGAAAAAGTAAAGAAACATGGTAACAAACGAAAGAAAAGTGGTCTGTATTTTCT